AGCGCTCCGGAGCGGTATTCAAGATAGTGTGGATTTAGTGTGCTTTAAGGGCACTGCGCTCTGGCATTTTTAAGACCTGGGACAGTCTTTCGCCCTTACTTCCTGTCGCGCGCACGCACTCTCAAGTGGCCAAGACCGCAAGTGTGGGTATTTGGACAATGGGATAGTTTTGCGCTGTTCTTTGAAAACGGCAGCGGATAGCCTATAGATTACTTTCAGTTAGAAAGAAATCTTATACGGTACAGTTTGTCAATCTAAATATTATTTATATTTATATTTGCCATTTATATAAATTATATAAATATTATTTATATTTACCATTTGGCTTATATATGTGTTTACAAATTATAGGTTATATAAGAAATATAATCATGATAGGCCTATATGTAGAAATATAATCATCATATGTACCACCCTACATTTTGACCGATATTAGGTTATTAAAGCAGGATTAGGGCTCCTAAGAAAGCCTTTTTCTGCTAAACTTTTTTTTTTTTAATCTTTTTTTCAGAGGCATCCCTTTAACAAACCTAGAAAACCTCCAAATTGCTAGAAGCATCACAATTATACATTACCCTCATAAATAATTGTTATCTCAGCAGGATTTAATTTAATTTAGGCTACATAAAAAGAAAAGAGAAATACTTCAATATTTTATATAAATGCAGCACAAAAAAAAAAAAAAAAAACACGAAAGCAGTTCTTCAACTTTACCCTTCCATAGAGAGGGTATTCATCAAAGTAATTGTAAGCTTTTGTATAAAAGAGTCCATTTAAACTTTTTCTATAAAGTATTCTTTTACATAATATTGTTTTGAATATGAATTATGTTAGATCTGTAATTGTCCATTCTCAGGAATGTCCCCAGTGCATGTTTTCTGATGCAGTTGTATGCTTTGCTGTATTTCGCCGCTGTCAGGTTAAAAACTAATATAAATTCATAAAGGTCATCCCAAAATTTCTTAAATCGTTTAACAAATCTAACAAGAACTGTATTTTAGCATGTCTTAAATAACATTATATGTTAAGTCCTGTCTTACAGTATTTATTATTCTTTTGTGTTACCCAATAGAGGAATCAAATAATGGGACTATGAAAGTGTGTTCATTTTATAGCCTCATTAAAACATAATGTGTAACTTTTGTCGACTTTATTTACTGACAGCATTACTTTCCCAAACATGCAGATAACAGGAAAATAAGAGCAGTTTTAATTAATGTGCTTATTAAATGTCAATTTCTATACACCAAAGAGCTATAGGGAGCACACTGATTTATATTTTCTGTAATAGGCAAAACAGGGTAGACAGGTAGGGGTCTAAACTTTATCCCACCCCTGACGAACGCTATCTATCCAGTCCAAATAGCTGGACACTTTGGTGTAGATGCCAAGTTTGTCTTTTTGCCCGCAGCCTTCTCCCCAGGACACCAGACCTATGAGGAACCATGTATCATGAAACAGTGTCATCATTGGACCCCCACTGTCCCCCTCACAAGCATCTTTTATTTGCCCCAGCACTCCCCCACAAAGCATGTTCTGAGTAAGGTTGTTCATCATATGCCTGGAACACTCTTTGTTGTCTATAATTGGAATTTCAATGAAGTTGAGAGTTGAACTGTAGCGATGAGAGGTCTCATTGTCCTTCCCCCAGCCAGTGACGACTGTGACAGTGCCGTTACGATGCAACATTCGTTCGGCCAGGTTCTGGCTAGGGAGGCATGCTGGGAGTATGTATGTGGAAAATTTGGCTGGTGTAGCCAAGTGCAACAGAGCTATATCATTGTCCACAGTGAAAGGGTTGTATTGTGGGTGGGCGATAGATTGTTTTACAGGAAGGGTCATCTCAGATCCTTCAATCCTAAATCGGTCGTAGTCACCTGGAGAGATGGCCATACAATTAGAATTCAAAGCCAGAGAGTGTTTATGGATGGCTATGTTTTATGATTGGTTAAAAAAGGAAGGCTGCTTCCTTATTCATTTGTTGTTGTTTTTTTACAGAGACTAGGACTGTCACAGAAACAAAGTGTAATTTCTCAGGATTCTTTCACTGCTATCTGTCAAATAGTTTGGGCACCATGAGTGGAATTAATACGCTTTTTAAGGGAACATAACACTATATCTAGATTGTCTTTTGGTATTTCTTTTCACTTGAGGCCTAAGCTTAGTAAACAACATCACTCTAAGCTGTGTTCTAGCACTTTGTTTGTGGCAAATTGCTTTAGTAATGCATCTTCTAAAATCTCAAATATAAGGGAGGATAAAAAGCCTTACACTGTGAAGGAATACTTAAATTTATATCAAATTGTCTTACATACCCAGCCTGACAGTGAACCTTGTACTTTTCTCTAGGCAGTGAGCAGCAGTGAGAACCCAGTTTTCATCAATCAGAACTCCACCACAATGAAACTTGCCCAAATGATTGAGTATAAGAGCCTACAGAATACACAAAATAATTTGACTGAATATTTGGTATAACATATGATAATTGTCAGGATTCGCTCTGATAAAACATTTGGCATTATTAAATATGATTACACAGATATTACAAATGAATCAAAAGTACCTGCCAGGGACTCTCTCCCTTTTTGCCAACTGTACTTCCTATTACCCACGGCTGTAAACCTACTAAAGGCTTATTAATATAAGATGACTTTGCGATCCGAATCTGGCCACATGAAGCCTCATCTGTAAATGACAAAAATGCACATAAATCACACAGATTTATCTTCCAAATGGTAGAAATTATATGAAGATAATTTTTTATATTTTCACATAGTTTTTAATGAAGATATATTTATAACAATATCAGTTATATGTCTATGTTAATCACCCCACATTTGTGAATAAATGTTGCACATATAAATGTCTTATAAATGTCCACAAATGCAGCTGTACAGTCTCGAATACACATGCAAATATCTAAGCATTAATTTGTGCACTGTGGGTACAAAATCACCAGTGTAAAAAAAATCATCAGTGTATTTGCAATAAGCACAAACTATATTGTTTATATTTGCGTTTTGTTGAGGTAACTTACTTTTGGCAATACATTTTCTAGAGTTGTCTTGTAGTTGGTATCCTTTAATACAACTGCATGTGCGAAAAAGACCATCCTCACTATCGTGACATTCATGATCACAATCCCCATTGTTCACAGAGCAGTTAGTGGCTGTCCTGCCTGAGGACAAAACCAAAGAACTGCTGTCAGGACATTTATCACCATGACCTCAACACTATGGAATGCCAAACCTGCCATAATTAGAAATAAAGAAATGTACAAATGTAAAAAAGCAAATATAAATAAATAAATATACAAAGAAAAGTAAAAAAGCAAAAATAAATAATAATTATTTTTTTTTCCCACATTTATTTATTTAATTTTTTTATTTATACATTTATTTATTTCCACTTTAATTTATTTTCACATTTGTGTATTTATTTACGTATTTATTTATTTCTACATTTATTTATTTCTACATTTATTTATTTTTACATTTATT